CTTCTTACTTTGTAACATAATCATATTTTAATAAAGTGAATTGAGAAAAGACCTCTCTTGAAAAAAAAAAAAAAATTCTTGACCAAATAAATGAGTTATAAGGCAGTATCAGCATGCCTGATAACGGTTGCTTACTATGATTTTCTGCCCAATAAACATTTTTTATTGGTTACACAATAGGGTTATCTTAATAAAATTTTGAGATACGGGGTGATGCAACAGTTTTAAACTTACTTTAATGATACGTAGTGTTAACAGATTAATATTTCAAAATTTTAATATTAGCTTTCTTAACTTATATATATATATTAATGAATTTTTAAAGTTTCTTTAATAATTTAAAGATAAAAAGAAGATTAGCCATTAAACCTTCTTATTTTTTATTGCCAAAATAGCTTTAAAATTAATAAGCTGCGAAATTAATAAAATTTTTTGAAATGTTAATACTTATTTCTATTAACTGTCGCTTGTTTTAAGAAACAATATTTCTAGTAATTTTGAACACGAAATTTAATTAATTTCAATTAAATACTTTTCGTATACTAGTCAAGTTATTCAATTAAAAATTAAGGAAAAAGGTTGTCTCTGAATTTCTCTGAATTAAAAAATTACAAAAAAGACGGAAAAGCTAGATACGGCTTTGAATAATAGGTATCTCGTATCGTAGTCAGCCTAACTACCCTTACTAAAAAATTATGACAAGCATTGATTATTAAAGCTATTTGTTGGGAACTCATATCCTGCCTGTTTCCATGTTGTTAGACTTGGATTTGTATATGCGTTAAAATGCCTATATTTTAATGCATACAGAAAAAAATTATTAAATGGACGTTATTTAAACATTCAAGTTTATTGTTATGTATACGTATATCGTGCCTGAAGGTGGCATATGTCTGAAGTTGCAGACGCCTGAAATTGCATAGAACGCAAACATAAAAAAATTCGCTAAAAAAATTTCGTTGTCAGTTAGGATCAGGTTTCACTATTAAATTAGATTAGAAAAATCTCGCAAAGTTGACGTTACACCTGATCATGAGATTTATTGGCCAACGAAATTTTTTATTCTGGGGCGGTTGAAACTAAAATTAAGCCCAGTAAATTAAATTTTGCATGCATTAAGTAATAATTTCAGGCGGATGACAACTTCAGTCACGGCATACGCGTGTATAGATATTCATTATATGTTGATATCAATATAATTACTTTTTAATATAATCAGAAGTAGGATAATCTGGAGGATCACATGATACCTTGACCTTTAGCGGGTCTTGATAAACTCGTATGTAATCTACGTACATTGTTGAAGGGAATTTCAAATTTCTGAAATCCACTCGACTGTATTCTTTCGAAATGCTTAAATTAATAATAATAGACTGCAAAAAGAAAAATAAATTGAATGATTTAATAATTTCAAACAAAATTTTTTATAATAAATACATACCATCGGCTCTTCACTTATTATTCTTTGACCTATACCATTGATTTTATTCGGACCAACAGCGCTAGCATTCATTCTCCATGTAAGCTGATCACCAATAAACCAACTTATATATCCATCAGATCCAGGTTCATATTCAAATGCATATTTTTCGTATGCATAATCGTTATAAATTTCACTATTGACTGTCGTCAATGAACTGACAGCTTGTTGCCACATTCCACCAACATAAGTGTTGAATGTTGTCACATTTGAATTATTTATATAAATAAAGTCCTTATTAATAATATGGTTTGCATCAAAAGGTGCAAATTGAGCAGATTGCGATATATGATTTTGATCATCATCATCAATAGTTGCTTCCAATACATCAATTTCTGGAGCACCACGACCTTTTCCGGGTGATGGATGATCTTGGCCTGGACATGTGCATTTGTTAAGGCGTTGACCATGAATGTATGAGAACGTACCCGATGTATCGGATTGATTAGGTGTGATACCCACATCACATTCATCGTAGCTATATGGCCAAACACCATCTGTCGTAGCACCAAAACCAGCGCGGCCCAAATTACCAAGAGTCCATACAGCAGGCCAAAATCCTTGAGTTTTGCCATCGCCTGGAAGTGAAACCGAAACTATAAATTTAAATAATATTTAAAGTTTAGTAAGGAGGGGAGAGGAAGGGATAAAATGTTAGAAATTAAAAATACCTTCTAGTATTCCTCCTTGAAAGCAAAATTTATTCCAACTTTGTAGCATTCCAGACGTATAATTTAACCCATGAATAATTTCGTTTGTGATAGTAATTTGAAGTTTTCCATCTTTGGTAGTAACCATATCCGGTGAATACCATTGCAAATCATTTGTAAGCCAATAATGAAGGTCAACAGCTTCCCTATTTTTTGGAAGAGGGTAACGGTAAATAAGCATTAAGTCACATTATATTTTAAGCCAATCGATTGTTTAGATCAATACGGTACGGGGTATACAGTATCCATTTCTGCTATATAATATAAAGGTAGCTAATTAGTGTAGTATAGTATAGTTTTTCTGCACGTACGTACACCCCATATCATAATGATCTGATCTGCTATAATAATTCATACAAAAATTGCCTAAACTTGTAATTACGTAGCTTAAAATTTTTAAAATAACTAATGCATACCAATATAGATCATCTCCAGGTCTAAATGTCCTACCATCCTTGTTAAATTCATCTGAAAACACAAGTTTATAAATAGTCCCATCGCTCGCTATTTTAGTATGTGCTGATTCTGGTGTATCAATGTCAATAAAATCTATCAGAGTTCCGGCGATTCGAGTTGAATTTTGACTAGTTCTTTCTAATAATTCGCTATTAACTATAGCGGTATATACAGGATAAACCACCATCAAACCCAACATACCCCCAAGAATGAGCATCAATGCACCTACATTTAAGCAACCACGTTTCGAAAATAATACACATTTTCGATCATTGTCGCTTTTGTCAGTATTATGCAATTCATCTTCATCCACAGTATCATCTTCATCCCATAATAACGGTCCAGATGCTGGTATAATATTATATTTATCGGATACAGAATGACCAGGTGCACCATTTGGAAAGTGAACGGAAGTAGTTGTGGTTGGGGTTGCTGCTGGACTTTCGGTAGGAAACGAAAATATTGAATTAGAAGAACCGGAATCATAGCGGTATTGAATTCTATCAGGATAATTAGTATCTCTCGGATAATTGGGTATTGTAGGTTGCAATGAAGGAGAAACGGGAGTTATTAGAGATCTGGGAGAACTTGAAGAAGATTGTGATGACAATAGTTCATTTTGATAATGATTTGTTTGACTCTGTGATTTAGTCATATTATTATCTTAGATATAACTTTACTATCAAATGACAAAGTTCATAGGTAAGAAGGTATAATGGTATTAATATAATTATTTTTCAAAGAAAAAAAAAAAAGACCGTTATAAATAATTACATAAAAAATCTTTTACTATCTATTCTTGGAAAAAATCAGTTCGTGTTAAAATGAAAAGAGAGTGAAGAGAAATTATTTAAAATCAATTCTAACAATATATCAATTTACAATAACTATCTATTTATCACATAAAACAGTCTACACCATTGATCAATTCTTTAGACGCCTCGATGATAACTTATCAGAGTACTGATTTTGTCAACGGATGAATGGGTACTTTTTATCAGAAACATGTAGCTATTGTTTATCTACTAATATCTTCAGGTAGAATTAATCTTATAATATTGTTCGAATTTCATATTAGATTTATGTAAAATTGCAATTTATAAAGTACCGTATTTATCGGACGTGGGTACCCTGGGTATTTACATATCTCAAACTTATATTGAACAATATATTTTACTATATATACCATACTTATGTACCCCGGGTATAAATCACCGTCCAGCTCTTAAAAGGGGTACCCACGTCCGATAAATACGGTAATTAGATAATTGTTGTCAACTTTGTTATATTTTTTTAGCAAAAAAATAACTTTTTTTATTATAATCTAGAAAAAATTTATCTGAAAATCAAGATAAACTTTCTACCCATCTCAATCAATGTTCTATTTACTCATACTTATCTATTTCAATAATTATCAAAGAATGAGGAACACTAATTGTATATGTAACGTAATATCATATCAAGACATTAAAATGGCTAATAGTATTGTAATAATGTTTAATAAATTCAATCTAAAGTATATATAAATTATTTTTTCACAAGTCAAAGCTTAAAATTCGTGTTTATCGTCGATTTGTGGTCACATGACTGTTACGCGTAACAAACATTTTAAACATGCAAGAAAAAAAAGCAACCGACAAACTTATAAAATATAAATAAGAAATAAAATCTAAGTTACATGCAAGGTAAATAGGATACATACAAGTAGGAAGGTCTTTTGTTCGTCACATTTGTTGACGCGTCATGTCCAAGCAATGTTGATGGACTTGTATACGGACAAGAAAATAATAATTTATTTTAGTAAAAATTTTAGTATCTAATTTTTTTAATAATTTTTAAAACTATACTAAAGTATAAATTGTATGATATGAACAGAACACGGAATAAACATGTTAAAAAAGGCATAAGCATCAAAAATATACAGCTACTGTAGAAACTTTCATATACTATATTATCTCTTCTGATCGATAGTAACTATAACTAGTCAAATAATATTTTTAAACGATATTTTTAAAAATGTACAGAATATTTCTCATTATTTGTTGTTTATCTTTTAAATAGAACAAATAACAAGATCACAATAACTAAGTGTATCAAAGTTACTTGTCAGCAGTGATATAAATTTGAATTTTATGTATTCTACTAATATTGAATAACAACTACTTAAACTTACATGCTCAAACAAGCATAACCACCTGCTAATAACACATGTATACTTTGGAACAAAGTTCAAGTGGGAGTTTAAAACACTAACCAACTAAGTTAAACTTCATTTTTTTTTTTTTTTTTTTTTTTAAGTGAGGTCTTTTCCTCAGTTCCTTTATTATTCATTATGCAGATATTATATAG